CTCCCCGAAAATAAGACAGGGTCTTATTTTCTTTTGACCCCTGAAATAAGCCCTTGGACTTATTTTCGGGGAGGTGTTATTATTTTTGAGGTTCAGGAGGTGATGAACATGGTCACCTCGTGGCTGCTACTGTGTTGCAATATTGTAGGGGAGGGCTTATTTTCAGGGGAGGGCTTATTTTAGTGCATGCACTCAAAAGCCCGATTGGGCTTATTATCCGGGGAGGTCTTATTTTCAGGAAAACAGGGTAAAGGATAGAATAAGGAGTCACAATGTTTAAACCCTAGGACTATTAGATCACTGGATTGCTTGATTGACAGATGAGTTGTCCTCTTCTTCAATTTCTTTGGAGATATGGTATCCAACTTTCTCCATGTTTCTTCAGAGCCAAGTTTCCTAACTGAGATTAATAGCACACTCTTAGCGTCTGCCAAGAATTTGGTATATCGGTCCTGGTTGAAAGACTCTGCACAATTGATAATATGGCATAGGTCATAGGAGAAACAATCCATTATTTCCTAGCCTGCGGGGTAAGAGAGAGATCGAAAGAAAAAAAAATGTTCCGATTGACTTCTTGGAATAAATAAATGCCGCAGAACTTCATTGACTTTATTCAATGTCAATTTTTCTTGCTTATTTTCTGAGGTGTTGTATTTTTCATATGTTTTTCACGCTTGCTTTAAATCATCCCTGGGAATTTTGTCATAGGTTGTAATAAATTGAAGGAGGGGAATCAGATTAAACCAAAATTTACCTAGTCCTAGTAGGAGATGAATTCAACTTCCTGTGTAGTTCATCTGGGGTACTTCATCTGGTATTGTAGTCTGAATCATCAATGATGATCAAGACTGATATTGTTAAAAGGCTTTTCTTCATAAATTAGTCTCCTTTGCAACTATTAAGATTCTCTAACACAAAACACAACACATTTTCTGTTGGAGAATTCCACGGTTTAATTATACTGTGCTCTGTGTAAAAAAAAACAACCTTCTTTTAATCTGACATCTATCTTCTGGCATTCAGAATTGTTCTTACGGGCAATAATGTATATTAAACATCCATCTCCGAGGATGGGACTCTGCCGGGGGTGGGATCCTACCGGTTTAACAACCGGTTCTCTGAGTGTGCACTTTGCATGCATCCACAGAGAAAACTCACCTTCCACATTACTGCTGGCGAGAAAAACAGCTGAGGCACAGCAATCCACTCGGCTGTGCCCATCAGCTGGGCTTTGGGAAAGGAAATATAGGTGAGTATAATGCAGGGGCGGGCGAATGGGCCCACTTCAAAGTCGGAGCGAACCGGTTCGCTCCCAGCTGATAGTCGGAGTAGAATCCTACTCCTGGCACTCTCTCTTTGGTGAGATTTTCATGCTGAGGTAAGATGTTCTCTTGCACTCTGTAGGTCAAGAGTAAACTTCAGCTAAATAGCCTTCAAGAACCCCTTAAGCTGCAATGATTCATGTTTCATCTTCATTCATTAAGTCATGACATGAGCGAGCTATTACTAATCCATCATATTCAATGAGTAAATATTCAATGAATGAAAAACATCTCGCTGAGTCATCGAGGAATGCATCTGCTCTTATGAACTAATTTTAGTTGGGCTCAATCTGGCGTGCTGTCCTGTGGTTAGCGGCCTACAGCTTTGGTTATCAGAGTTCATACTATTCCTCTCCACTCTTCTGCTCATGTAAGGAGAAGCTGGAAGTACAGAAAAATGTATTGTCAAAAAAAGGGGGGGCTCTCTGCTATGTTTTCAGGCTTAGTTGATGATTGGTGGTGTTAATGACGGTGAGATTTACAGATAGTCCTCAATTTACAATCACAGTTTGAATAAGAATTTGGGTCGCTAAGCGATGCAGTCATTAAACAGGTCATCAGAATAACAGAATAACAGAGTCATCAGAATATTAATAACAGAATAACCCACTCAAAAGGTTCAGTCTTAGGTAGTCGCAGATATTTTTCTCTCTTAGGGTGCAAAAAAAACAAAAAACCCTCTGCTGTGAACACTGCATGGGCATCAGGAAGTGTATTCGGCCAGTAAATTCTCAGTTCCATCCAGTTGCCCCAACTCTAACTCAAATTAAGGGATTATGGGGTCATAGAAAGGGAGGGTTTTTTATATCTGGTGTCTCTTCTAGTTTTCTGTACTTCTGTACTTTACTCAGGGGCAGGCCATCTTTGAGTTTCCTCCTCTGAATTTGTTCTTATTATGCTTTGATAGTATTTTATTACTTGACGGCTTAAGCCATATTCTAGATACGTGATGGTGAACCTACGGCACGCGTGCCACAGGTGGTGTGCAGATCCATATCTGAGGGCACAGGAGGCATTGCCCTATGTCAGCTCCAGCGTGCATGCGCCAGCTGATTTTTGGCCTTCCAGAGGGCGTGGGGAGGCCATTTTCACCCTCCCCAGGCTTCAGGAAAGGCTCCGGAGCCTGGGGAGGGCAAAAAACAAACTTACCAGGCACACTGGAAGTTCTGAAAATGGGCCATTTCTGGGGGAGCAGGGCAGGGCCTCCAAGGGGCAGGGGAGGCTGTTTTTGCCCCCTCCAGGCTCCAGGAAAGCCTCTGGAGCCTGGGGAGGGCAAAAAAAACAGGCCTACCAGAAGTCAGGAAACCTGCTGTTTCTCGCCTTCGGAGGGCCTGGGGGTGAGGCCATTTTCGCCCTCCCCAGACTCCAAGAAACCCATGTACACGTGCATGTGGGGGCAGCGGGGGAGGCGAGCGTGCATGCGCAGGTGGGCACAACATGGGGGGAGGGCATTTAATTATGGGTGTGGGCATGAGCGTGCGCACGTTTTTGGCACCCGAGGGGAAAAAAGATTTGTCATCCCTGTTCTAGATCAAAATATATGTGTCACAAATTGCAGCTGGTTTGCATACAAGTCACATGTTTTTTTCAGGAAAGATAAAACCAAGAAACGTGAAAACTGGTGGACCCTCAAGTAAACGAGAGAAAAGATTTTCTAATATTTTGAGCCACTCTCTGATAGAAATGGACGCTTTTTTTAAAAAAAAAAATAATCATCCCTATATTTATGCTTTCTGTTCCTTCGTGATGTCATTCTTGTGGCTTTTCTTTTTCAAGCTGCCATTACTACATATAGTGTGGAGACCATCTGGAGATGCATCAGAGCACAGATGGAAATCTGTCATCTATGTCCTGCCAGGCAGCCAACTTTCCAAGGATTGTAACCTATTCTAGAGCAGACTCATAGACATACACACTTTCATCATCTTTGTCTGGAAGTTATCCAATTCATTGCATGGGCTAATCCACTTTTATATTATGGTCTAATAGAGGATAAGGAGAATAGAACTGTGACTCAGTGGTTTCTGGGCTTGTCGGCTGGAAAGCCAGCAGCCCAGGTTCAAAACCTGAATGCCACATGATGGAGTGAGTTCTCGTCCCTTGCTGCAGCTCCTACCAATCTAGCAGTTCGAAAGCATGCAAATCAGGAGTGAAATCCAGAAGGTTCTGAAGGACTGGTAGCGGAAATTTTGAGTAGATAGGAGCAAATGCTACCTCTGGCTGGCCCCCCAAGTCAGGTGGGAACAGAGATTTCGCAGTATCCTTCCCCTGGAGTATTTGTATTTTGTATTTTATTGGTCTTGTATGCCGCCCACTCCCGAAGAACTCCGGGCGGCTTACAATAAACAAGGGAAGGGGATAAATAGACAAATAGACAAACAACAATTTAAAATACACATGGGTAATCTAGCAAGGGTCTCAGCCCGCGTGCATACGCAGTGCAATTAAAATTGTTCTGTGCATGCACAGAAGCAAAAGACATTGGCAGCGCCTATAGCACCACCCAGAGCACCGTTTCAGGGGCGTAGCAGCCTGGGTCGCAGCTGGTTCCAGGCTGCGAAACCACTACCAGTTCATCCGAACCGGTCCAAGCTGGTAGGAACCCACCACTGGACTCAGCTCTTGAAAGGATTAAGATGCTGTTCTTTGTGGAAAATAGCACCACTGGTTTCTTTCTGGATACAGATAGGCACGTCCATCCTTTTCTCCCCTGTATTTGTCCTATCCATCTTCTTTTCGTGCAAAGAATTTCAGAGTTGCTCTTCTTCTTCTTCTTTATCTACAGGAACATCACTGCCTTAGAATTAAGATCCTGGGAGATTGCTACTACTGTGTATCTGGGCTTCCCGAGCCTCGGCAGGATCACGCTCATTGTTGCGTTGAGATGGGACTCAGCATGATCAAAACCATCAGGTAACTTGTGTTTGGTTTTTATTGCTGCCCTCATACTGTGCTCTGATCTGCGGTTTTACAGCTCTTATGTTGGGACTGTAGAATATTTTCTAGGAACTTTATCTTCTCCGCTTCTACCCATTTAAAAGAAAAGAAGAAGAAGAACTAACGCTCATTGCAAAAGACATTTGAGCAGAAACTTGGATTCGGGATTGTGTACTGAATTCCAGAACGGGGTATAGTTGTTTGCAACTCAAATACACCCAGGAGTGGGCTGCCGGGGGGGTCCACCGGGGTTCGGGAGAAGTTAAGATTCTGTGCAGTTCGGAGAACCTCCAAATCCCACTTCTGGTTGGCCCTGCCCACCCTGCCCCTCCCAGGCGTCCCCACGTGGCCCGTTTTGTATGCAGGTAAGTTCAGGGCATTTGCAGTGACTCAGGGAGGGTGAAAAACAGGCCTACCGGAAGTTAGGGAAGGCTGAAAACAGGCCCATTTCTGGCCCCCAGAACCTGGGGAGGTCATTTTTGCCCTCCCAGAGGCTTGAGGAAACGTGGTACAGGAGGCTGACTAGGCCACGCCCACCACGGCCATGGCCATCCAGGACCCAGGCAGAGAACCCCTTCCTAAAATTTTGGAAGCCCATCCCTGGCTACACCCAGAAAAGTATTCTTCGTTACCATTTCTTTCTTTCTCTAAACTGCTTAGAGAGGGCTGTAAAGCGCTGTGAAGCGGTATATAAGCTTAAGTGCCATGTGCTATTTCTTGTTGGAATCTAATTTAGAGCAGGAAGAACATTTTGGTCAAAGTTAGGAATGGAGCAGCCTGAATTGAAATATTCAATCACATAATAGATAGATAGATGATAGGTAGGTAGGTAGGTAGGTAGGTAGGTAGGTAGGTAGGTAGGTAGGTAGATAGATAGATAGATAGATAGATAGA